GAGTGTTGTGGGGGGGGGGGGAGGCTTTGAATTAAAAACAGGGCAAAGGGCTCCTGTTTCCGCTGTTACTGTGTTGCCTGGCAGCCGCCTGGGGTTGCTGGGGCTATTTAAAGGGCTCCGGCCCCTCCGGGGAGCCATTTAAATAGGATCCTTCTGCCTGAGTCACTGCCTGGAAATTCGGGATCATAGGCAGTAGGATATGAATAGAAAGTGGCCAGATGTAATCTGTGAGCCAGATCAAAGTGTTAGGTGGGGCAGATCCGCCACCTCAGACTGCATCTTGCCCAACCCTGCTCTCCCCACCCAAGAGTAGCCAGTGCAAGATAGTGTGAATTTGTAGACGGAGCTTCCTGTTGTGTTGGGACCAGCTGAGCAAGTCCTCTATGCCAGAGATTGTTGCTCCTTGTGGTGTCTGTGAAGTGTTGGATGAGTGACAAAAATGAGATCCCTGCGGGGATACAAAATTTGTATTTGCATCCAAGCTGCAAAAATGGTCCATGTATTTGCAGGATTCTAACAATAATCACTTACCTCCCCAGATTCCTGCAAAGTCCCCATTGACTTCATTGGCACCTGGGTTTGAGTAAAGGTGGCATGTAGGCTATTTGTATATATACACAAAAACAACTAAACAAATTTAAAACACAACTGAAACAAGTTACAATCGCTTCTCCGTCATGGAAGAAAATGAGAGGACAAACAACATGTAGTCATGTTGCTTTGTTAACATGCTACTGGAAGGAGCTCAGATAGTTAGGTTCTTATGCCATGCTCATCACCTATCTGGAACAACAACAAAAAAAGTCCCTTGGCGCCTTAGAAACTAGGGCTGTTAGTCTCTAAGGTGCCACTGGACTTCTTGTTTTTTATTGTTTTTGTTTTTTTTAAGATACAGACTAACACGGCTATCCTTCTGCAACCTATCTGGAACAGTGTAGGATCAGAACCATATAGCAGTCATGCCAAGACTGCAGTGTCTTAACTGCTCTAACAAGTGCAACAACCAAACAAAACAACCCACTCCCATATTGCAGCAAAGTTATATCAATATAATAAAATATGTAAAGGACAACTTATGGCTAATGAGACGCGAATGCCACTTTATAAACATATGTATAGAATAGTGTGGTATAAAATGCCTTAATGAGATAGGTTGATATTCTGACCCACCAAAGATTTCTGCTTAGTTTTTCCAGTATAACTATATCATCCTGTTTGGAAAAATGTCCTTTACTCCCTCTTCAGTAATGGCTTGATCCTGGAAGGAGATGAGCAGTTCCTGAGTACCTTCAATTCCCCTTGACTTCTTTTTGTAAGCTGTATGATTTGTGAAGTCACTCTGAAGGAATCTCGTTTCATGTAGATGAGCATTTACTGCTTGTGTTAAATAATATGTTGTTAGTTAGTTGTTAGTCCTAGTATTCAGGATATTGTGATACTCACTTAATCATGGTTTATAGACTAAAGTTTATAAACAGAAGAGAATTTCCAGGATATTGTTATGGGATCTAGGAATGCCTTATTTAAAATGGCCAAGAAACTGTCCCAAAGTAATAATTAAAAAAAAAAAACCCCAACATACAATGGGAGATTACAAGTTTTGATTCAATTGTAATTGTCAAGCCAAGTTTATTATAAAGTATTCTGTTAGTTTATGGTTTATATATATATGGAATACAAGATGGTGGAATAAATGGATGTTGTGTTAGGATAATCTGATGAATTTATGATCCATCTTTTTAAAAAACGAGATCCAATAGAATTGCTGTATGTATGTCAAAGAGGAAAAGGGAAACCTTAAGGATGAGAAGTACCATTAATTTACTTTTCCTGGACTTCTGCAGTAGCCTCATGGGTATACACATCATAGGGCAGCCAATTTGAATATTACTTACAGTGCTGTATTATAGATTTGGTAGTTGGTGACATTAATCTTTCAGTACATCAAAAGCTCCAAGTGGTAGATAATTATGTTAAATATAAACTTCTATTTCAGTGGAATTAGAGACTTGCCTGAGATAATTTGGGATGTAAAATTCTGTGAGAGAGGAGTGGATATTTTGTAAGAATTATTTTTTTTAATCTTTTTTCTGTATATTTATTTCTGTACATCTTTGTCAAATCATTGCAATATCTAAGCACTGATTTATTTTTATTTTTATAAAACTTTATTTTATAGGATCAACATATGAAAAGTTCTACCTTTTGATGAGTCACTAAAAAGGTAAGAAAGTATAAGTAAGATGTTCTGGTGTTTGAAGAAAGATGTGATTGTAAACCACATACCGTATTTTCCGGTGTATAAGACGACTTTTTATGCTAAAAAACATCCCCCAAAAATCGGAGGTCGTCTTATACGCCGGGGCTTTTCTTGCCCTGGAGGACACAGACGGTAGGACCTTGCGGTCCCGCCGCCCGTGTACTCCGGGGCGAGAAAAGCTGCTCCGCGTCTCCCTGGTCTGCAGACCAGGAAGACGCGGAGCAAAGCTGCGGAGGGGCTCCGGCAGCGGGGCAGCCCAGGTGCGCCTGGGATGTATACCCGGCGTACAAGACGACCCCCGATTTTTGGGGGATGTTTTTTAACATCAAAAGTCGTCTTGTACGCCGGAATATACGGTATTTTGGAAAAACAGTTCCGAAATAGTTTATTTCAAAATAAGCGTTCTGTGTAGATGTACCCTTAATGATCCATCCATCTAGTCAGTCATCTGGTGATCCAGTCTATAGATGAGTTCCCACAAGGCATCTCATAGGAATTAAAAACTTCTTCAGTCTCATGGACTCATAGACTTTAAGGTCAGAAGGGACCATTATGATCATCTAGTCTGACCCCCTGCCCAATGCAGGCACAGAATCTCACCCACCCCGAGTCACCGAGTCCCAGGGCATGAACCGTGCCCAAATGCTCTGGAGTACTGTTCTGGCACTTTCTGGAAGCCGGAAGAGATTTCTGGCACTAATGGTACAAGCACAAAAAAGTGACAGTTTGGGTGAAATCTTTTAGCACTGACCCTGCTCTTACTAAACTAGAGTCTCCTATAGTAATTTTTGAGAATACTGTATATAGAGACTCTGGAGATAGCTGGAATCACTATAGGTTTCTGTTGTGATTCTCATAAGAAATCATAATCAGAAAATTAAGATCTTGAAAATTCTTTAAACCATAATCTGAGAATCCTAAAATTCCTTAAATGTGTGCTGGATGTTTCCAACTTCTACATAGGAAGTATTTATCTCCCTCTGCTATTTTTCATGTTCATTTTCATGTTATGTCATGATGATATTTAGTAGTTGCCTTGGGAAATTTTATTTCCTTTTGGAGACAAAAACTGACTGCTCATTTCAAGGAGCTCTGGAAGTCTTAACTAATGTTCTATAATTAACAAAAGCAAGAGTCTAGTGTCTGACATCCTGAAAGTAAGATTAATTAGATTATGAAAAAGGCCTTCCACGAAAGAATAGGCAAAATTCCCTCTGCAGCCCGTCTTACCTTTATTAGCAAACAAAATGTTTTTATAAACTCATATGAGCTATCAAAGCTATTTATATATTATATAAATATATAATATTTGAAGAAAGGAAAGTGAGAGATTTTAAATGATAACAAAAGATATAAGGGTGTTGGTGCAGAATAAAACAACTACAAACTCTTACAACGTATCATGTGTTGTGAGTTGGAAGAAAGATGTCTTCGGTCTTTACAGGTCGGTCTTCTGACAAAGGCTGACAGTTATTCAATTATTTTTACTTATGATATGTCTTATTTAGGGATGTTAGATATCAGTTAGTTAAATTGGCGAGTAACCGCATTAATTCCTATTAGTTATTCAACTATTCAGTAGTCCCTGGGGTTGTGGCCAGCACCCAGCATCAGAGGCGGCAGCACCACAGGTTGCCAGATGGGAGCCAGTCTGTGAGGGGAGCCAGTTTAAAAACCAGCTTCCCTGCCCAGCCCGGCTGCCTGCCACCCCACACTGCTACCTCTGAAAAAGTGGCACCAATGCGGGTAGCAACAGCACCTCTCGATGGGGGAGGGGTCCAGGTTCCCCCCAGGTAGCCTCTCTCCATGGCAAGCCTGGGCCCACCGCGGGCAGAACCTGCTCCCTTGCGCCCCCCCCCCCCCCCCCCCCCCCCCCCCCGGACTGGGGGGTTAGGGGGCAGGCAGCACCGCAGACCTGGTGCTGGGGGGAACCGGCTTTTAAGCCAGCTCCCTTCGGGACCAGTTCCTGCTCTGTCCCTTTCGCTGTCTCTGATACAGAGGCAGCGAGGTGGGGGGAAATGCGAATAGTCAAGAAGATTTTCCAATAAGCCTAGGCTTATTGGTTAATCATACACTCGACTACTGGTTTACATCCCTAGTCTTATTATGTATTAGACATCTTGATGGCACCTTTTATAAAAGGGAGAATCTGATACCTCATTGCAGAGTATCAATAAATGTTTCAGGGAGCAGCCGTAGAACTGAAACACTGAAATTACAAAAGGCATTTAGGAAGACTAACAAAGCATTTATGGCCCAACACTGACATAAGTGGGAGTCTTGGGTACTCAGTATTTCACAGGAAGGGGCCCTTTACAATCAAAATTTGCATCTTGAATATAATGAGAAAAGTCTAGCAAATAAGCAAATTGAAGGTGAGAAAAGAGTGTGTTCTGGCACGAAACATCTCTTAGAAACTATTTTTCATAGCACCAGACATAGACATGCTGCTGAAGAATAAGTATGAGAAAACAGGGCTATTATTTTTTTTCAATATTATGTTTTTATTTATAAATTAAAATTAAGGCCGTGATTAGGGTTGCCAGGTGTCCGGCATTGACCCATACAGTCCAGTATTTTTGCCTCCTGTCCGGTAAAAAAAATTTCAGAAAATACTGGACACCTGGCAACTCTACACACACTCAGCAACCCCCCCCCCTCCCCACACCTGGCTCCTCAAGGGAGCTGTCTTCTGGCTCGGGAAGGAAAACAAGATGGCTGCTGGCAGCCTGTTAAAGCCAAAAAAAGCCTCAATGGCATGTCTTAAAGGGGCCATGCTATTTTTTTGTTTGTTTGTTTGTTTTTTGTTTTTTTTGCTTAATAACTCTCGGGGTCCTTTTTTTTCCCCTCAACAACTTTGGTCTCCCCCTGTTTTTTTTTCTCCGCAGAATTTTTTCCCCGGTGGTTTTTTTTTGTTTTTTTTGGGGGGGGGGAGGTGTTTGGTATTTTTGGTTAAACCATCTGGCAACCCTAGCCACAGCTCTAGAAACACTTTATGCAACTGCGTAACTTTGTGTATGCAAGCTGTCCCAAGTTCAATGGGCCTACCCATATAGGAAAAGTAGGGTGGATATGTGCAAGTTTAGGGCCTAAGAGAGAGTCATTCAGTACAAAAATAAACTCCAAAATATTGAGGGGAAATATGGTTAGAAAATGAAATTAGTAATGTCTGTATATACCAACATGAACAATAAGAAAACTGTTCACAATTCCTGAAATGCATTTAAAACCTATGGAACCCAGCTTATCAAACTTCTTTGTCAAAATAAATTTCTTTAAATTACTTCTGTTAAGAATCTCGGTATGAATAGCTCAAAGTGATGTTTTGATTTTTAGATCTAAATTAGTTTTTTTCAATTACAGATAAAGAATGGCATACTCCATTTCAGCACAGAATTTTGTTGCGCTTTCAGATCTACATCCAAATCTGGCTCGCCCTGTAGGTCTCAGCAACATCGTACTTTTGTTCTTTTATGAAATTGTATCTAACTATATTGAATTATATGACAGTTGCATAATTTTGCGGTATTTAGAAACTCATAACATCAGTGTCATTGTTAAATATGTAGTGCAGCACCTTCTTTGTGTATACATCAGGAAAATGAAAATTCCAACTGTTGTCCATAGTGTGAGTTCTACAAATGTAGATATTGCCTAGACAATTCCTTATTTGGCAGTATCAGAGACCTCTTGTATCATTTTAAATGAATGCTGAATGAGTGATTACCAGTACACAGTCACAACACACAATGGATGTGTGATATTCTTTGGCTACAAGTTATAGACATAGGGCCTGATCCTGCAACCTCTGCTCACAGAAGTTTGGGCCAAACTCTGCAGTATTTATTTATTCAGACAAAACTCTCATTGAAGTCAGTGAGTATAAAGATTTCAAAATTATATATACAATGGGTTTATTATTATTTTTCATTATTTGAAACAAAATATGGTCTAGACACTTAAGAGATTATAAGGACTCGGTCTCAAAAAACATAAATATACTATGCGGAAAAAGAAGGGGAATGAGGTACAATCTCATTGAGCAGTGAAATGTACTACTACTTTTTATTTCTATGATCTTTGCTTAGACTTATGTATGTATTTATACTGTGTTTTCTGTCATTTATATGTTAACACTTTGAGTGCGAACCAAGACTACACTATTCATGAGAGTTAAAGGTTGCAAGATTAGGCCTATGATATACAGTTGTATAAGTGTCCTTTGTATTTTAGCTTATTGACTTTGTATTATCAGAATAGGAAATCCCAGTGCATATTCTTAATTTTCATTCTTTGCCTTTCAAGTTTAGATGTTAATATTCTGGGCTATATCATTTCTTCTGCTGCAGGAAACAGTCTGCTCTGTGGTGGGCTATAATGGCCTCCAGTTGGCCACCAGTGACAGTATGTGTCATATGTTCTGTGCTACTTGCAGTAGGAGCCTGGAGAACAGAGACTGAATTTCAGCATGGATACACTGGAGGCGGTGGTGTTGTATCGAGATATCTCCCCAGATCTAAGGGAATCGCATGGTTGTGTAACCCACACACCTTGTGTGGTTACTGAGCAATGCAAGTGGTAACTAGACCACAGCAACAGTTAAGACCAAGAGACCTCTACAGCATGGGCTGGGAGCTAGCTGGCTTTTAGCTCAGAGGGTAGAGGTTCCTATATTCTGCTTCAGAGGTCCCAGATTCAAATCTGCCCGGTGGCACTTATAGTTGCAGGGCTAGCCATGCTAAAGAGGTTCTGATAACATAGAAACAGAAATGAAAATACATGGGATTTTCCAAGTACCTTCCCTGTTGCCATAGGGTGTGTCTGCACACCAGGGCTTAACTGGAAATAAGCTATACAAATTGCGCTACGTCAATTGCGTATCTTATTTTGAAATAGCTTATTTTGAATTTGGGAGTGTCTACACAGCACTTATTTCAAAATAGAGCACTCTTCCTCCCACTTTCCTTACTCCTCCTACAATGAGGGTTATAGGAGTTGGATTAAGAAGTCCTCCATCTTGACAGAAGCTTCAGGGGGTAGCTGAGTTAGTCTGTACAGAAAAAAACAAGTGCTCTGGTAGCACTTTATAGACTAACAAAACATGTAGATGGTATCATGAGCTTTCGTGGGCACAGCCCACTTCTTCAGGTGACCAGAGTTTTGAGCTTAGGATCCTAAACTCAAAACGCCAGTCATCTGAAGAAGTGGGCTGTGCCCACAAAAGCTCATGATACCATCTACATGTTTTATTAGTGTATAAAGTGCTACCAGACCATTTGTTGTGTTTTTACAGCTTGACAGTATTTTGTCACTATTTTGAAATAAATACCTGCTGTGTAGACACGGACGAAGTTATTTCGGAATAGTGCTAGTTATTTTGAAATAGTGTTGCCGTGTAGACATACCCATAGCCTTTTCTCTGTGAGAGGACAATTTAGACCTGTGTTTTTGTCTGTTTTAAATAATGAAAACATATGCATTCTCCCTGTCCAAGCTAAAGGCATTCAAGGCTTTGTCATTTGCCATCACTCACAAATAAATTGATCCAGTAGCTCATTTAAATCTATATTTTCTTTTAAATGCAAAACTGTAATTTTTTTAGTGCAACAGGTTGCTTTAATCTGAGAAACATCCAATTATTACAAGTCAAACCTGACTTTCTAATTAGCTTTTGATGGGCAAATCATTTAAAAGAATTAGAAATCTATCAATATATGTTTAACATGTTAAACTAATGAATATATATATTAGTTTAGTTTACTGTAGTGTAATTTTATTTTGTTAGTAGAGGCTGAAATAAATTATACTTTAAAGTTTTTAAGAAGACCTTAAATCAGCTGTTAATATTCCAAGAAATTAGCTCCTTATTACCAGCAACGACATATGGGATGTATTGCGAGTTAATTCCATTACCATCCAGCATGGCCTAAAAAACTAAACAATGTTATGTGGATTGATAGATAATGTATGAAAGAGAGCTCTAAAGACTTTGAGGAAGTTGCACTGTATCAAACATATGCTTTGAATGAAATCCTTTTAATAACTAGAGGATAGGACAGTAACTGTGCTCCATCTAGTGATTGAAAATAAATTATAAACATGGTCTCATGTTCTGACCAGATTTAACCTGTGTACCTCCAGAGAAAGAAGTGGCTGGCATGCGATTGTAAATTAGTTCAGAATTCAACTTATATTGACCACTAATTTTTTACATTTGCAAACATCAGCTATAGCTGGGTCATATAGTCTTATCTGTTGTTGAAACAACACAGTCGCAGGATAGCTTTGAATGTAAATGCAAGAGCTATGCAGAGATGTTGCCCTTTCTAAAATCAAATATAAATGATACATGTTCTGTGATCCCTTGGAATGGTCCTATAGAGCTCGTGGAAGTATGTCAACTAGTGAGAACTAAAGTTGTGATGTTAAGAGTGCAGAAGCAACTTGTAGCTTTATGGTATTCACTGTTAAGGCCCTTTACATGCTATCCTCATTCAATTTGCTACCTTGTCTCATTCACTATGAAGGTGCTGACTCCTGCACTGGTCAACCCACAATGCTAGTCTCCATTGCTCGCTTGTTACATTTTCAAACAACCATCTTCGTGGTTTTTTTCCCCCATGCTTGCCTTCACACTTGGGAGGCATTCTGAATAAATATCTACTAAGCTACCTCATTATCCTGCTTCCAAATCCTTCTTTTCTGTGATGCCTACAAAAAACTTGATTGTGGTCAGGCTGCTCGTATGGCGAGATCACTGCTTATCACGCTGACCAATGTGGATTTTTTCTTTGTACTCCCCATTTGTCTGTATCAATCTTTTGTCTGTTTTCATATTTAGATTATAAGTTCTTTGAGGGCAGGGACCATTTTTTGTGTTTGTACAGCACCTAGCACAGTGGGATCCTGCTCAATAACTGCTACAGAGATACATAATAACAACAGAAAGGCTGAAAGCCACAGGTTCTCACTCCATTGTGAATTTAAGTAGATCTTAGCCCAATACCTTTTTGAGAGCCACATGCTGTGCCAGCAACATGTTCTCCCTGCCTATGTGAGGGGAGAGATTCTGATGGAAAGTCAAAATTACAGACATTTTTAGGTAACCTTTTCCCTCCTACAGCTTTTTATGCAGTCAAATGTTTGGGCCTCCTGTACCATTTTGTACTAGTTACTACTTTTTTTCTCATAAAACTGAATGTTTATGTTTAAGCCTTTAGTTTATATAGCACAGTGGAATAAATGTATTAAAATGGTTACTAGTTAATAATATGTTTATTATCATCAGAGTATAACAAGTCCATGACATTTAATTTATCATGTACATCTGTGTTTAATATTTGTATTTTATAATATTTTTTGTTTTTCAGAGTATAATCGGTGTAGTTATTGGGAAAACAGATGTCAAAGGTTTTCCAGACCGAAAAAGTAGAGTTCTTTTGTTTATATTTCAGTTTCTCATATGGTGCAAGTTAGGCTTATATGACTATACCAACAAAATATTTACTTTTCTTGATGTTAAAAAAAATGGAAAAGACAAAACGTATTTTTTCAGAGACAGAAGTAGCAGCATTAATTTGACAAACTCTCATGAGTTTTGTTTTCCCAAACCCTAAAGCAGAAGCGCTTGAGATCCATTGTTCCTGACTCTACCTCACATTATGAAGGATATGATGCCAATTTTTGCCCCACTGTAATAGCAACATTTCTGGAATGTTCTCAGTTTTTTATGTTGATTCTTTGTCTTCATAGAAGTGTTAAGGGTCTATGAACAAAGCAAATAGGGCTGTTTGGATCTCAGTGGCAGAGATTCATATCTCTGAATAACTTTTACAAATTGTATGAGAACTGTATTAGATGTGATTTATTGGAATTGCAAGGTACCAAAGTGACAGCACTAAAAAGTGAGGTTGTCTTTTTATCCAGAGAACAGATAAGATACAGATTTTGTTAGGAAATGCATTCAGGGAGAGAGAATACATCAGTCTTCATCAGCAGTGAAAATAACTTAAATTTCTTACAGGTACTCTCCCTTGGGGGAGAGGGACCTTAGGATAGGCAATGTTGGTGGTGGTATGATATGACAGGACCTGTAAGAAATGTAATTGAGGGATGGAGTGGGGGGCTCAGGGCAGCGATTGCAGGGGGAGCTCGGGGCTGGGAATGTGGCCACTGCGCTGCCCAAGCTTCCTAATCTCAAGACCTTGCTGCGGCAGTGGATGCTGGCTTAGGCTCACTGGGACTGGGGCCTAGCCCCCAGCCATCTGGCACTGGGGACAGGGGCCACAGGGGGGATGGTTTGGGCTCCTGTGGGGAAGGCAGGGAGGGGTGAACCACCCATGTAAACACTGGCACTTGAATCTCACCTGTGTATGGTGGCCAGCAGCATCCAGAACCCTGCCCCTAGCTGACTACATCCTTACCATACAATTTTTATAGAAAACTTGCTAATAACAAATGTTACAGTGCAGAATGATCAGAGGACAGCTTCATGGATAAGAGTCGACATTCAGCACAGTAATTACAGCCCAGAAAGAGAAGGGAGCAAAATGGCTGGTTT